CCTAAGTTGGCCCTCCCTTCAGAATATAAATAGGGAGAAGATATTGTGCATTGCTGTGCTTTGATTGACAGTTCTAACGCCCAATCATCATATCCTCCACAATGTGTTCCTTCCTCAATTCTTCTGGCCCTCATACTTACTCTTGGGAATCCAGTTTTCCTTAGGCTGATCATTGATGCTCTCTGTTTCATGGCGCTGGCTTCCTGCAAACTCTACTTCTGCCGAGTTGCGTGTAAAAGCTTAGTTCATACAACATGCTAAATCTGGTCAACAGAAACCCACTGGCTAGATTTGCTCATGAAAAACTTGGTATTGGCCTTGGGACTTTTAGCAGTGCATTATAGTGCAAACCTGCTTGGTTTGTTTATGGTTTAATGTATCCTGCAGAAACAAACAATGGATTAATTCGGGAACCAGGATAAGAGTACGATGTGAACACAGCCATTATGTTCAAGGTGGTTGTGGAGTGTAAAATATGAACCAAGATTTTCCATTTAAGATATAAGTTTGATGATATCATTCCACCAAGCACACTTGGTCAGGAGCACAAGTGTAAATTTTACAAATAAATGATGTCTCCATGATGTCTGTAGAAGAGGACGACCGGCAGCAAGAGGGTTGGACTCCATTACAACAGTGATGGGTGCACTGCTGGACGACCTGAAGGACTGGGTTAGGGACAGATCGTCATGGAGAAGATCTATGCGGTTACTAAACGTTGACACTGACTTGACGGTACATAATCAATCACATGATGTCTCTCTGAAAAAGTATTAAAAGATAGATCCATCTCCCAATAAATGAATGGAATGGCCATAAAGAAGGAGGAAGAGAAAGCCATTTGGGACAGAGTAAGAAGGATTATGTGACTAAGTTCCACAGAAGTATGTGGAGTTAGGCAAATGAGAAGTATGAAAAAGTATGCTTGGTGGCAGGATGAAGGGGTACGGATGAGAAAAAATGCTGAAATATATTATATAATGGATATAGAGAGGAAAAGATGATTGCAAAAATATGTTCAATGAGAGCCAGGTACAATGCAGAACACATTTAATGGAAATTTTTAAAAAGCTAGGCCTAACAATTGAAAGAATACTAGTACAGTATTGTTCCCCTCTACAAGAGTGAATGCTAAAACCACAGGGGCATTCATTTGGGTCTGGGAAGATATTTTCTGGAAAGCTGACTGAAAATGTAGAAGTAATACAGGTAGTCCTCACTTAATGACGGTAATTGGGACTGGAATTTCCATCACTAAGCGACAAGGTTGTAAAGTGCAATGTCACGTGACTGTGCCACTTAGCAATGGCAGTTCTAGCACTTCTGGTTGCCATCATTAAGTGAATCCTGCAATACTGTTAAGCATGAAATCACAGTTTCCATTTGCGACCTCCTGCTGGCTTCCCCCTTGACTTTGCTTGTTGGAAGCTGGCGGTGAAGGTCGCAAATAGCGATCACATGACTGCAGGATGCTGCAATGGTGTAATTGCAAGCCAGTCATCAAGTGCCCAGATTGCAATCAGGTGACTGTGAGGATGCTGTGATGGCCAGAACTATGAGGACCCATCGTACCACTCGTTCAGCGCCATTGTAAGTTTGAACAGTTGCTGAATGAGTGGTCATTAAGCTAAGACTGCCTGTAATGAGCAAAATTTGGGTATTGTGGCTTTATACCAGGTAGGAGCTGCAGAGAGCAGAGTTTGAGAAGGTTTGAAATATGGCATGGTGTGGAATTGCAGGTTGGTTGCCAAATAAAAGCAGTGGATGATGGAAATAAACCCTATGTGAAAATAAATGGAGTCTTTAGGAGATGCTTCAACACAGAGCAGGGAGTAAGTTGTTCCCTTGGCTGTATAGCTATATATAAGGAATACTGCTGATGGTGGAGGTGTGTATTCACTTGAAAGGTGAATGTGCCTGTACTTCTGTATGCGATAATGCCACGTTGTTGACAGAGGACCCAAAAGATTTGCAGTTTAAGTTAGATAGATTCATGATGCAATGAGAAGTATGGATCCGAAAATCAATGTATCAAAGACCTGGGTATTTGTATTGGGTAGGGAAAATGGAGTATATGATTGCAAGTTACACATAAAGGTGAAGAAGTACAAATCCATTTGAATACCTTGGGAGAATGTTTACTAAATGTGCAAATGCTGATAGACATGTAATGGGAAGATGTGGCCTGTTGTGAAGAATCAGGGTTTGTTGAAAGAGGTGAAAAAGACCCATAGTAGTGAAGGAGGAGCAGTTAAGTCTGTGGTTACTCCAACACAGGATGCCACAGGGCTGTCATCCCCCTGCTTCTCCTTAACACCCGTATGAGGCCCCTGGGAGAGGTCATCTTTCATTTTGGGATGAGCTATCATCAGTATGTGGTTGATATTCAGCTTTACATCACCACCCCAGAATATGTTGAAGATCCTTGGCAAATTCTAACTCCGGATTTGGAGGCTGCGAAGGTCTGGAGAGGTGGAAACAAGGTTAAGATTAGCCACAGCAAGATGGTGCTTGTCCACTGTGGAGTGGGCAGCCATATAGATTGAAAAACAAATTACCTTACTGTAGTAGCAACATGGAAGACCGTTGTTATTTCGAAGAGTTTAGGTGACATAGTTTGATTTCTCCTGCACCCATTAAGAGAGCTCACTCTGAGTCATAACATCTCACAGGCTTGTTTTTCACTTTTACTTAGAAGTGGGGGGGAGACCCTGAGGGTTGTTTAGGCGAAGCACTAGCTTCTCTAGACAGGCTCTGATTCACACGATGAGCAGGTATCACATCTGGTCAAGGTCACTCCCACAGCCCGACTCCAAAACAGAGCCATGGGATGGCAGGGCCAGACTTTGATAAAAAGCCCTGGCATTGCCCCTGGAGTCTTGGAGCGTGGGCACAGGCCTTGGGACTAGATGCTGTGTTATCTAAACCAGGGTTCCTCAACCTTGGCCACTTTAAGATGGGTGGACTTCAATTCCCAGAATTCCCCAGCCAGCCTTGTTGGGGAATTCTGGGAGCTGAAGTCCACCCGTCTTAAAGTGGCCAGGGTTGAGGAACCCTGATCTAAACCATCTTGGGGTCTCTCTGCTATCACCTTAGGGTAGCTCCTGACAGGAGGAGAAGGGTTTTATCATCTTGCTTGGTATGTTGTTTTTATACTATGCTTATGTATTTCTGTTTAATACTATCTGCTAATTCTTATGTTCCTGTTTAAATCTGTTTGCTAGAGTTAACAATAAAGCTTAAGATCTCCTCGCCTGCTGGCGTGCTCATTGTCTCTGGATCTAAAAGAACTAAAAGAACCAATTGCCCGGGCACCTGATCACGGCCTTCACAACTGGCAAAACACTTACCTCAGACGTGGCCCCAGCAATAGCTCCAGGGTCACCCTCCCTTGAAGAAACAGGCCTGCAATGTAGCGGTCCTACTGGATTCTTGGTTCTTGATGGAACCGGAAGTGGAAATCTTCACTGGGGAGGCTTCATCGATCTTAGCCTGATGGGCCGATTGTGACCCTATGTGTCAGCCATTTGAGGTAGGCCAAGGTTGTCAGGGAACAGACAACACAAGGACTACTGGAATTCTACTTCATTGTTGCAGGGTATAACAACTGAATCAAGGTGGGCTTATTGTGTTTCTTTCTCACCATTTCTACCTTCCAAGGACAAAGTTGAAGTCTACTTAACAGTTCTTGCATTCCATCTACATTTTTCAAGACTCCTCTACCTTATCTGAACCCATGGCAATTATATGTCACAGTTACCACCACACTTAGTTTATTGTTATCTGCTCTACATGGAGCCGCCCTTGAAAAAAAAAGACAATTGTTACAAAATGGCACAACCAGAATCTTAGGAGGGTATGAATTGTTATCATAACATCTACTCTCTGGTCACTTAATTGGATGCCAGTTTTCAGAGTCCAATTTAAAGTCGTGACTTTGACCTATTCAGCCCTATGTGGTTTGGCTCCAAGGTGCCTCAGAGACCATCTTCTCCAAGTTGAATCTTCCCAGTCCATGTAGGCAAGCATGGAAGCAAGATCTCATGCTGCCCTTGCTTCAGACCCTCTTCACTCACGGCTCCCATGTTTGGAAACCGATCTTCACGTTCCCCGATTATTTCACAAGGCAGTGAAGACTATATTGGGTATTTCTTGGATGACTTCTTGGATTCTGTTGACTTACAGACCTATGGTTACCATGTTTTTGTTATTTATAGTTAGTGCTGAGATTTGGCTTGAACTGATTGATTTCTGTATTTTCAATCTTATTATTGTAAACCCCCTGGGGTTGTATGAGCTGGGCAGTATATAAATATTGCAGAATAAATATAGTAGGGAAATATAGGAAAGTGGAGGGCAGTGGCAATGGCACGCCTAAGAAGTGTGTGGTAAAAGAAGGAATGGCTTTTGAATATACATGAATTGAATACAAAAGCAAAGGACCAGTATGGAAAAAAACACCGAGGGGGTCATACGAGAATGAGGATCAAATCACAAAACAAATGTATGAGGAGTGAATGGGTTGAGAGGAAGGGGAAGGTTGAGAAAGCTGCGGCTGGATGGCAATGACAACATCCTCGGATGTAAAGGACAAAAGGCAGTCAATGAAATGGGGTATGGATGTGACCGAAGTGACCATAATAGAGCATGGAGAGAGATGTGAATGGTGTTAGTCTGAACTAGCTTTACCTACATTTCCTTTTTCCTTCTCTCTTGCCTATAACTTCTTTGGCGTTTTCCTTCTTTCTGTATTTTGCATGATGTTGCTTAATCCAAAAGGCAACAGGATGATGGGTATGTGCTGAACGCATGGATATAAATCTGAAGATGTTGGCCTAATGTACAGAAGACCCTAAGCTATAAATGGTGGGTTACAAACCACAAACCTTCCGAGCTGGCTAGGGGGAAAAATTCAAACACAGTGGAGCTCAAACACATGAGCTGAAGGTCCCCAAACGTCTGTGCGTACAGTAAGACAACCCACAAGAACAGGGCAAGCTTTGAAAACAAATTTTAATGTTATCCAAGAGACGTGATTTTGCTGCTTCTGATAGGCCAACTCACACTGCAAGAATCCAAGCCCTTGTAGCTTCTGACAGCAGATGACGCCTCTCCCAAGGACCTCTTCTTTTTAAATCCTCAGTTATCAAGTCCCTCAAGTCCGCTGGAACAATCAGGAGCTCCCATTCACCTTTCTTTTCGGCAAAATACTCTTTTCCAGCCTAAAGTGCTGCTGCATGGCGGATAAGGCTTGGTAGCTGCAGAGGGCAGACCAGGTGGGGCCAAATCAGCCCTCCGCCGAGCCAGCGGGAACCCAGGCAGTCCACCTTTGGCAGTTTTGCTGTCTCTTCCTCTTGAATGCCCTGGGGCTGAGATGCAAGCTGGGAGCTTGACAAATTGATGCTGCAAAGCTGAGAGCGTGGATGATCTGGGTCTGCCTACCACTGAACCCTAAAGGGAGCCACGCTGTCCCCCTTCCAAGCCCCACCCCTCCTCAGAGGACTTTCCTGTTTTTAAGCCGCTATTCCCCATCCCCTGCGCCTTCTGCAAACTGAATGGGACTCCTTATACATTTAATCCAAGTGCGAATGCCAGACTCCCTCTCTCCTCATCCATTCTGGCAGAGAAACAGTCCATCAGCCACATAACAGAACACGCAGGCAGCCACCAGAAGCAGAACCCCTCTTCTGCCTGCCCTGAAATGTTTAAACTATTCTTGTCTAGCTGCCTAATCCTTTAGCGTTCCTGGTCCTGTTAATGTTTTTTCCTTCGAAACCTATCTTGGCTGCCTCAGTTTTTCTACATGCTCTTTGCTCCACTGGAGCTGGCTAGAGATGGGACAGTGCTTACAAGCTGCGGATGGAAAGATTATAGCCTTTAACGGTTCCTAGGGAACAAGTGTCTCTTTCCTGCCCCTTCGGCGATGTTCTCCCTTCATTTCTCTTTTCTCTCCGCCTTTCTCTGCTTTATTATTTCAACCTCACTACTCTGCCATCAGCCGATCCGTTTCCCTCTCTCTCTTCCCAGCACCCTCTTCTTCTTCTTCTCATCTGAGGGATGGGCACGTAAGCCCGGAGCACTCCCAGAAAGTGGGTCAATGTCCGTGTTTCATTTCTGCTGAGGCTCGTCTGCCACGGTAGTTACCTCAATGGTCGTGTGCTCTTCCGCTGCTGAAGTGCCTTCCACCACACTGGATGGCACAGCCACGATTGTACTCCCCCCGGGAGACATCTGTGTCACGTTCTGGATGGCCGTGCCCAGTCCTGGAAGGGTGAGCAGCTGGAAAGGGCTCATCACTTTCACCACAGTACTGCTGTCCTGGATGGCCGCCGTGCTCAAGACCGTGAGGTTGGACGCGTCGGGGTGGATCTCCACTGCGCTGGGAAAAGTGGATCCCGCCGATGCTAAGATTGTGTATCCGCCCAGCAGTGGGGAGGCCGGAGAGCTGGCTGATGTAATCTGTGCGGTGGCCTTTCCGAGAGTCGACGCTGGGAGAGCAGAGACCACTTTGCCAATGGGCAGGCTGGCCAGCTGGGTGACCGGCATCCCTGGAGCCAGAGCAATCTGTGCTGACTGAGTCAGGACTTGGGAGGTAATGGCAGGGGGCCCTGACGTGGCACGGGTCAGCCTGGGGCGTTTCAGAGGGGAGGGAATGGAGACGGGCGTCAAGGTCATCAGCACGTTGTTGAGGTGCTGGGACTTGTGCTTCAGTTCCTTTGCTCTCTTGCGATGCTCGTCACACTGCTGCTCCAGAGCTGGGGAGGGAAAGGCGGAAAGGAGGGGGAGAGCAAGATTAACGCCACGGGTGCTAAGCAGGACACTGAAAAAGTCAAAAGGCTAGACTAGACCAGACTTGGCCTCCTCCCCTTACACCGCCTAGTACCTAAGAGGTAGGGTGCTATTAATCATTTGAGAATAGCGCACACAATGACCTTGTTGTGATAAATAATGTAAGCAGAACATCAAGCTAGTTGATATCCTTTTGTCTGCAGCACCGATTTCCTAGAACTGGAAACTGAAGAAGGAAGATCTGCCTCTCCTGTTAGGACAGAAATGTCTGACTTGACAGATTAGTAAAAAAAACTTAAACGAGAGTCAAGTCTGTCTCCAAAACTGGGATTTCCACAAATTTCACAGGGAACTGGACAGTGTAAAAATTTAATAAATAGATATATTTGCCCATGTAATTTACCTATTCATTCCATTTGTATCTCACTGTTAATCAAGAGGGGTTGTTTCCCACTCTTCATTGTATCCCCACAACAATCCAGTGAAATAGATTTATAACTATTATTTACATTCTGCCTTTTGGAATTACAGTACTTTCTTCTCAAAGCAGCTTACAAATAATATCAACTGCTGTAAATCTTCCCATAGGGCGCTTGGTGGTAACGGGCCTGCCGAGGATGGGGAGGGAAGTCTGGCTGAGAAATCTCTGGGGCAGCCATCTTGGCCTTCTGCCCTCCTCCAAAGAACAATCGGTGGGACAGCCTTGTGAGGCTGGAAGAGGAAAGCGTTCAGTTGGAGCAGGCTCCTGGGGTGGCTGCTTTCCTCTCCCACAGAATTAAATGGGGAACCAGTGATGACCCCTAGGTCACAGGGAGCTTCAGTGAGCAGAGAGGTGAACCTGGTCTCCCCAGTCTTAGCTCAACACTGACCACTGAACCACAGAGTCATAATCAAGTCCAAAGTCCTATTCTGGGCAATCTGACCAATACCACACCCCCTCCCAGACACTTTTTGCTCAAGGCTAAACATCCTCTATATCTTTATTTATCCCCCTTAGAACTTACATTTCCAGTCTCCTGATATCTTTCTTTCCTTTCTCTAAATCCATCGCAAAGGGTGGTGCCTTCTCCATAGGTACCTTATCAGGTACCAGGACACAAGTAGAGAAACAGGACTAGGAGACAGTACCTGCTAAGTCTCGCGTATACTGCTTTCTGGAACGGTCCATCTGGCACTTGTGGCTGGCTAAAACTTTCTTCACTAGGTCTAGCATACCAAAGTTTTGGACTGTGTTGTTGAGCAAGACGGCATCTAAAATAAATATGAGATTAAAAAGCAAAATGCCCTAATGGCCAACAGAAATCATTTTACCCACAAACATCCACAAATCCACCAATCTATCTTATTTGTAGGGGTGGGAGGAAAGGAGAATGTAGGAATTTTCATTCACCAGGCCCCAAACCTCCAGTTCCTCGTTCTTAGCTAAGATGAAGCAAATGTAGCTGTGTTTGCTCTTAGATTTTAAGCCCTCTGAAGCAGGAGAGTGGAATAATTGTTTTACTTTTCATACTCTATAAAGCATCATATATATCAAAGTCAATGTAAACAGAAAATTATGGTAATGCAATTATTGCGTTTAACTATTTTTGTACAGTAAGGAATGACCATACAATAAAAATAGAAGTTAATTTCTGTATTACATAGTTAAGGTACTTTTTATTATCCACCTTCAATGATTTATTATACGGAACTCAGTTTTCATATATGCTGATCCTAAACTTTTTGCATTATGAACTCTGTGCTCAGAATAAGTTGTGCTAATTACACACATCTGCATTACTAGATCCACCATTCTGGATTTTCCAGCAATCTAAATGCAGGATTTGAAAAAAAAAATAGAGTTCTTTTAGCAAATGTCTACAGACAAAGGCCAAAAACAGAGGAGATGGAGGCACTGTGTGAAGCAGGACTTTGACGGGAAAAGGACAGGACACTGTAGAGATCACTGGGATTCCATAACATGATCCACAGAAGTCATTCACGTCCAGGATGCCCTCTGACTCCTGAATGTTTAACAGATAGGGCTCTTATCTTTCTAAGGAACCATGAGAACTAGAAGCTTGTTTAATTTTAAGTGAAAGCTGAGAGTATCAGGACACTGATATTGACAGTGGATGCCCAGTTCAGATTCCATACACAAAGCCCTAAACCCATAGCCTACTTTTGGTTGCTAGCTCCCTAATAAAATCACCATGAGCTTTAACTCTGTTATTCTTAGAAGACACACAAGTAAATAAATTTTAAGAAACTGTAAGTAATTTGTTTGCAAAGTAAATCACTGCGATAAACAGTTCTTACCACTGAGCTGTAAAGGGAGATCCTGAATTCTTTGCTGCAGGCCTTTCATGGCTTCCATTAGTTCCATGCTGAATTCCTGGACCACTTCTTCTAGCAGTCCTGCGTCTTTCAGACCTCGCCAAAATGTAAACGTATCATCTGAAGAAAAAGTAGAGGGCCCTTGACAACGAGAAGGGTGGCTGGGGGAACCCAAGGGGCTGCTTCCTGCTATACCCCATAATCCTATTCTGGAGATGGTATATTCCAGGACCACATTTTGACACTTGACTACTGGTAGGGTTTCTTACAGAAGACCTCAAGTAATAACTTGTAAGGAACCACCATCCATAAATGTCAGAATAAGGAAGCTTTAAGAGATGTAATCTACCCCATTCACAAAAAATCAAGTGCTTAAAAATATGACTTGTCTTATGTTACAATCAGTGAATCAAAGGCAAGAAGTTGCTGTCAGGAATAGAGCAGATCAGTGAAACGTTGCACAAAACAGTAGAGGGATGAAAGGCTTGTGGGCACGGCCACCCCTCCAGGATCCCTCCTGTGACCCTAATGTTGGTGTCTCCCTGACATTCCCCTTGGTGCTGATTTTGCCACTGGGAATTCCAGGACGTCTTCTACCAGAGTTGGGCAAGTATCTGCCGCTGATGCGGTTTTAGATGCCAGTCTCCTTCTTGTAGGGTGGGGAAGGAGCCAAGGAAAAGCAGCACCTGCCTTGCCATCATCTCAAAGGAACTGGCTTCTAAAAGGTCTGAGGGGGGCACCCTGGCTGGCAAAACAGGACAGGTATTTTCACACTTCAGGATGAATGAGGGAAAAGATGCCCCATGCCCAGCCAACAGCAGCATGCAGCCCCCAGCCACTTACAGGGCAGGGGAAAATAGGCTATCTGAGGCCACAGGGTGCCTACAAGTACTTTCCTTGGCACTTGGTAACCTCCCTGAGATTCTCCCAACAATAAATAAATGGAAAACCAGATGCTGCAGACCAAGAGACTGCCTCTAGCATCATTATTATTAAAAGAATGGTTCTGGGCTACACATAAATCAGAGGCATCCTTAGAAAAAGAAAAGGGCAGGAAATCCCAGGGCTGTCAGCTAAACTGAGAAGCTGAAAAACATTCCGACAGACGGCCATGGTATATCATTTCCCTATCGCTGCTAAAAGAGCTACATGGACGCATCCCCTCTGAGACCTGACTTTTATGACAGGTAGTAGGCAGAGTTCTCAGGAATACAAGAGTGGCAAGCTGCCATCACCCAAACCACCAACCTCCCCCCAAATTGTCCAGTTATCAGTATCTCTTCGGTACTCGGACAGGAGTCTCTTCCCATCCCACCCAGACGTGCCAAAGATTTGACCCCAGAACTTGCTTCAAGGGCTCTTCCACTGATCTATGGCCCTGCATACAGAAAGACAACGCAGCTGTCAACACATCTGCATCTTTTTCTTCTTCAAAGCCTCTCAGGTTTTGCACCAAAGACCCTGGGGGAGGGACTAAGAGCAGACCCCTACGAGCTTCACCTCCGATAGCAGTGGTCCACTCGGTGGTATCCTCGCAGGTTTCTATGGTGATTGTGGCAGGAGAACCGTTTACTGCAATTAAAGTCAAGCAACCATTATCATTTGTCCTTGCAAGAATCTTAACTCTTTTACTCTTTAAAAAAAACACATTTTCAATTTCCCTATATGTTTGCCGGTACGGTTGGAGAAAAATCCCTGTTCCCCCTCAAACATTTCTAAAACCAGGACTAAAATGCTCAAAGATTTTGATGTTATGCTTATGGGAACTTGTTTAATAAAGCCATGCAGATTTTGAAAATGATTTGGAAGAAGTGCTTTGGACCTCGTGTGAATGTGCTACCTCTCTCCTGTTCTTTAAGTAGCTTGTCTTTTTTCAGGGTTCCATATGACCCTGAAAAAAAGACACTACTGCTTTAAAAATCAAATTAGCCTTCGCGAGTCAACTCCTTAAATCAGTGTGATCTCTTTTTCCAGGGTAATATAAAAGCATGAAAAATGCTGAACTCCTTTAATAAATACTAGGGAGATGTTCCTTGCATTTCCAAATCATATTCAGAGATTGTACAGGTGTATTGTTGAATGTTGACATGGAATATTAAGTTCTGATTTATTACAAGATGATTCCAATGCTTCACCACCCCAGGCTAGGCTGAAAGATCCTGGCTAGACTCATGGAAATCTTCTTGCTGCCTTTGAAACTTCCACCTTTCAGAAACTAAATCATTAAGAGAAGAAACCTTAAATGAAAATAAACAAATGATTTAGCCAATCAACTGCCAGACTTGGAAGAAAGCCCAATTAAAAGAGCACTGCCCTGTCATGGAGGAAGATACAAAGTAGTCAAAATCAAAGCTTTCAGAAAGAGAACAAAGCCTACTAAACTTTCTTGGGTTAATCTTTTACCCACATAACAAATGAAAAGGCCAAAACAGGCGCTGAAAAACTAGTTGGAGCACTCAGCACACTCCTTCTTCCCCTTTATGTCCTGCTCGGGATATGAGTTAACCCAAAGCCACAGCATGTTTAAAATGCCCACAACCATGGTTGAGGAAGGAAATCGGTGATAGTCAAGAGCATCTGAGTGCACCAGCTGGCACTGCTTTAGGAGGGCTTGGGAAGGGTTCAGACCGGTGAGAACTGAGCTGCTGACTGCCCAGCCATGCCCTCAAAACTGCAGGAGGCGGACCGATCTGACAGGCATTCCTGATGTTAGTCGTAAAACATCTACAGAAGTTTTAACTGCTTTAGGGAGAAAAAGGACTCAATGGATTTTTTTTAACATGGTGAATTTCTGGTGGAAATTAGAACTGCCATTCCAGTGTCTCAGCTGTGGCCCCTCCTTTCATTCCTCTGTCCTTGGGTTTTGCTTTTCTACATACCATCTGCAGAGGCTGGAGTGAGAGGAATGTACTCTGTTGATGTCTGGCTGCTGAGAGAGACTCTAGCTCCAGTCAGATCGATTTTAGTGCTGCGGCAGGTGTTCGAGCAAACTTTTGTGTGCTCGTAGAAATCCAGCTTGCCTGAATCCATGATTTTCCTAAAACACACAGAGGGGGTGTGAATGCCCAGGTGAGCCATGTGAAAAAGCAACATACCGAAAACTCACAGGAGGCAAGCTTTCATGCGCTGGCTGCAGCCTGCTTTTAAGTGACAGCTGAACCCAACCCTTCCGAACGGAGACCCCCTTCAAATGGCCGACAGGGGACATGGGGCAGGGCCTGGTGAATCCTGCTTCCTTCAGGCGCAAGATTGGATATACGCACTCCAAGGCCTAGATCAATGCTTCCTTCCGCATATGCGCACACACTTAAGCAGTGGTTTACCTTAGCATGATCCCGTTCATTCGGATCGCTCTCTTCCAGTCCTTCAAGGTGGATTTGCCAGCCAAATGGACAAATTCCTTAGGACTTATCAAATGATTGTCATACTGCAAGGAGAGAAAGGATGTAGCATGAAGAGGGAAGGCAACAAAGCCACGTAATGTAATGGTATGTGGAAAAGACCTTGGGAGACAGAGGGAAGAGCCACAGCTAGGGCAACAGTCGGATAAGAGGCAGCTGAGCCTGCGAAAGGAATGGGGGCCTGGCAAATGTCTCAGAAGGGACCCTCCCGAGTTTCTTGGGATGTAAAGGCAACGGGGAAGAAATGTACTTTCAGACTTGCAAGGTTCTGTTAATGTCACCTTCCAATAAAGTAGAATTAGTTTCTCTGGGGGTGCTTCCTGTCTGGACTATCTCACAAGGATGACACATAACAGGAGACCCATTTCTTCCATGAGCTGGCTTCCACAGACCCGGCTGCTTCTCATGGACTGCTACAGTCCCAATGCTGGAAGCAACTCCTATGGGATACCTCACCAACATCATGCTGGGAGAACAGTTACCTAGAAGACTCACAGTTGCATCACACAGAGGCAGGCAGAATAGAGACTGAACAGGGAAAAGAACATTGCTTCCTACTGCCTCTACGCTAAGGCCCCATCCTCGCCCTCCAGATCCTGCACCCAATGTCTGATCCCCTCCTTGCTCTATGACATCACTGACAATGCCCATCCTGTGAAACAGATAACCAAGCTGCTTCTCTCCCCCACCGGATGTTCTTGCAGATCAGCCACTGCCTTAACAAGGTCTCAGCCCACTTGCGACCTCATCAGTCACACTGCACGCTCTACATTGGCCAAGAACTCCAAAGTAAGCTAAGAGTCTAAAACAAGGCACTTTCTCCAAAAGCTCCTCTCTCATAAGATCTGGAGAAAAAAAGTTCCAGTGGCCCAATAGGCAGCATGTTGGATTGAACCAGGCAGCTGTAAATTCAAGTTGCTGCGTCTCTCTTTAAGCCTCAGTTACCTGGTTGTAAAATGGGAACAGCAGCAGTCTTTCTCCGAAGCTGGCATGATTTAAAAAGATTAAAAAGCATGTGCTAGAGAAGAGATTAAAGATAATGTCACTGTTCTTCCCTTCATGATCACATCCCCATTTTGATGCTGTGGATTGTTTAGATTAATTATTCCACAGGGGCTTCACTGTACATCTTTTTATTATGCCTTTTATGGTTTCCCTTTCCTGCTCTTCCCTTTTAGTTCATTTTATTGTAAATTAGACCAGAGCTTGCAGCCTTGGTCTTGTTCAGCTGGTCGGTGCTTTTTCCAGAGTATTTCATATGGTCACAGAATGGGAACCTGATGCAAACGGTTTTTTGGTTTTCATTCTTTGCAGAATGACACATTTTTGGCGGGAGGGAGGCAAGCAGGCAGGAAGGGCATCTAGAAAAGAAAAACCTTCCATGCAAACCGTGAGGGCAAGTTGGAAGCTTTGTGGTCCAAATATCCCTCGCCTGCTGCTAAGCAAACGTGACAGCCAGCCAATCCATTTTTCGCTGCAAGGATGGGATGTGTTCAGATTTTGCACAACAGTCCATGAAAGTGGAGTGAACGAAGACGCACAGCCCTGTTTTGTTTTCTAGGCCTTTAAGAAGGATCTCACCTGCACGCACTTCACATTGATGCCAGGGCAAACAAACTTCCGCCATATGAGGTTGGCTTTGCTGTCACCACATGTGATGGGATAAACCACCTCGGCTTCCATGCACTCATCTCCTTCAGCCATCTTCACTTCAAGGTGAGGAATCAAAAGGATATTTTTAATTAAAAAAAGATGACAAAACCACAGATGACTAATTATGATGATGTTTAAGTTTAAAGCACTCAGAACAAAAACTGGGCAGGCTGAAAAGGTATTATCCACACCTCTACATTAACTGCCACCATAAAACCCAAAGCAAGACTATGACTCTGCAGGTAAATAAATGTAAATATAAAGATATATTATTTACATAGCTTGACCATTATATAGGATGCAAGAAAGTGTGGTAGTAAGCTTAAAGAGGCACCTGTTGGCCTCCATAAAAGGCTCCCATCATTCTCTGCCAATATCAGTTTTAAGGAGATGTTAGATCAGTGTTGTCCAAACTTGGCCACTTTAAGATGAGTTGACTTCAACTCCCAGAATT